CATCTCCTGGTGCTGGGTGGCCCATGATTTTCCACCTCTGTCCTCACAGAGAAGAACTGTCTGTCATCTTCTGCCACAGAGGGAACTGCATCCAGGCTGCCCTAGGGATGACCTGCTTTGAAAGGTGTGAATCTGCAGCCTTTGTCTATAGAACACACACAAAAAAAGCTGTTCCTTATTCATGTCAGTTGCCCAATGGCCCTTCCTCTTACCAGGCCCTGCTCACCTCAAGGAGGGGTTTGTGTTGCTATTCATTGGCAGGCAGCAGCTTCTCCCCCAGGACTCCTTTACTCCTCATGTTGTCCCCACCTGCCCTTCCCCTTCAACCCAAGGCAGCAGAGGGAGGAGAGAAGCTTCAGGATGAGAGGTAAAGCTGGCCAGAGCCTGAGGAGAGGGAAGACTGAGAGCTGTCTAGCTGGGACCCTGCCCCTTTGTTCTCCCATCACCACCAGGGCAGAGGGAGGGGGAGCAGGAAAATAGCCAAGCTGGTTTTACAAAGTCTGTCATGTTTTTGGCTACAGATCCCGGCCCCGTCCTGATGCCAGGCTCTGCCCAGCATGCAGGAGAGCGTGATGGCTCCAGCACCATGGAGCTCAGTACCTTGTGGCAGTCACTGTGCTTTTTACTTCTGCTGGCTTGAAAGACTGTTGTGAGTCTGCAGCACTGGTTTGTCCATTTGCACAACTTACCCACACTCACCCCACCCCAGCTGCCCCTTCCCTTCCTCACCCACCCCCGAGGTTACAACGTAGTAAATAAGACCCAATAAACAGACCATAAATTCTTGACATGTCCACAATGTGTTGCACCTCAGGGAGAGGCAGCCCTGAAGCAGTGAGCAATGGGATGGCTGGGGTGGAGGCACCTGCCAGCTGTGACTTTCTTTTGGCAGTGACAACCCAGGCAACACCACACTGAGCTTGGTGCTGGGGAGCAGTTTTCGTCATAGGATGACTAAACAAGGCCTAGTTCATGTACCAAGTTGCTAAATTCTTAACTGAGCCCCACCCCCATTCCTCAGTAAATTGCAAATATCGTGTGCCAGCCAAAGGCAGCAGGGTGATTACATCTCGGCTTTTGCCCTTCTTCTTCTCAGCTTCCATGTGTTCAAAAGAAAAGTTGCCTCCCTTCCAAGACACACAGAGGATGAGATGCAGGCTTTGGGAGAGGACTCCCAGTCTCCTCTGTGAGGACTGCCCCTATAGGCTGCTGGGGACACCCTTTCACCAAAACATTTCTGCATTAACTCTCCTAAACTCACATCACAGGCAGTTGGTACTGTCACTCACTCATGCTGCCAGGCACAGACAGACAGAGAACAGGAAGGGGGAGGGCATGGGAAAAAAAAAAACAAAAGAGCAAGGAATGAGTCACCAGTCCAGACAAATTGCCTCCAAGTCACTAAAATTAAGCTGAAGAGAGTGGTCCCAGTGGTACTATGGATCTGGCAGCTGTGAGCACCTGCCTTCCTGATGCATTGCAGAGACTTGAGAGTAAGAAGTGTTACAGGGCGGCTGCTGTTGTCACTGCTTGTGGGAGGGAGAAGAGCTCAGGGTGCAATTACCGGTACTGCAAAATCCTGCAGTCCTAGAAGGGCGCAGAGAAACTGTGGAGTTGAGCCAGTTTACCACTCCCCGATGCAGCACCACTTCTGAGTTTCAAAGGCTGCTTCCTGCACATGTGTTTCCAGCACATGAGTAGTGTCAGCAACAACCTGCCACACTGATGCCCTTGATATAACCTGCTGCCAGGGAAATTTCTGCAAATTCAATTCATGGTCAGATCTGAGTAAGGCAGTGATGTGACATGTTATCCACTGATAATGTCCAGTGCAAACCCGGAGGACATCCCATGACAGCAAGTTCCACAAATGTCTCCATTGCACATGGGCTGCTGGATGGATTGCCCAAGTCTCATCCAAAGGTAATGTAAATTGTGTCAACATAAGTCCAGAAGAGCAGAAATGAAATCTCTGGACATATACCTTTGGAAGAGTAAGGGACACAAAGCCCCTGAGACTGGGATCTAGCCTTCTTTAAACATCCTCAAACCAATGATTTCCCAGTGGAATTTTACTTCCTCCTCAGTTTTCAAGCTTTGGCTTTCACCTTCTCAGTCTGCCCTGTCCCCTGTCACATACAGCAATGCAGAGAGTAGAGCCTTACCATGTGAACAAAACAAAATTGATGTATTTGCCTGTTCTGTTAAAGGGTAATTTGGCAGAAAATAAACCCCCTTGCATTCTAGTTTATCCTCAGACAGCAGATGGGCTGGGGGCTGCTAGGTTTAGATTCTGAGTGATATCCAGTTTGTCACTACTGGTCTGGTCATGTTCAACTTATTGAACTATCATGATAACGGATGCACTAACAGTGCACTGCACTTTCAGCTTAGTCGCACGCCATGGACCCACATGGCCAGATTTGGAGAATCTGGTGGTGCCCAATGAGAAACTTTTGTGGCTAGCTTAATGAGTAGTGCAGTTTATTAAAGCAACAGAAGTACAGGTTCTTATGTATTGCTGGTGATAAATATACTGTCTGCAAAAGCACATGCAAATATTGAGATTATAAAGCAACTCTATATAGAGAGATTTCCAAGTTTTCTGAGCAAGCACTTGGGATAATCTGGATCTTACCCAAAGTCATCCCTATGGAGGCACAAAGAGAGGTTCGGCCTGTCGACTGATCCCAGGAGTCAGAGGCAGTATTTCCTGACTTGTTCATGATTATATCTTTCCCCAACATTCTCCCTTTTTCAGGCCATTTTTATGCAATTTTTAATCTTCAGGGTGGAGCTTGAGTGATTCTAGTATGATTGGCGTAAGATTCTCTTGCTTTGCTTTTAAAGGTATAGATTAACAAAGATTCAGGGCGCAAGCTCAGTGAGGGGTGATTGCACTTCGGAGGTGGGTAGCCTTTGGGATGAAGGTGTGTTTCGGTATTATAATATGATTATAATGAGCAAAGTTTGCACAAAGGACATAATTTTGTCAAAATATGACAGACTACTGACCCAGGGTGGTAAATATGCAGCTTATCAGTGCCATAGTACCATGAAGTTCCCATCTCTGCTGTGATTCACAGAGCTTGGCCATAGAACCTTCACACCACTCCACCCTCCATGCTATTTTGCAGGCAGTGTCATCCAGGGAACTGCTGTGGAATAGATTCCTTGCACACCAGTTGTGCTCCACCCTGGAAGCTTCTTTCCTTAATGTGTGAACAATGCCCTGCATTTAATATAGGTTTGATTTTAAGTCACCTTCAGTAATTATTCCACACCGTCTTCCTGTGGAGGTGCACAGGCTGAGATCTCCTTCCAACACAATACGAACAGTTTGCACAACCCTGTTGAAGCTGAGGCAGAGAATGGGGCAGGACTCTGAGCATTGAGGAAGCGAGCTGGAGACCTGGAAGTTGTGATCCCATGACTGTGCTTATGCTAACAAATCCTGCAAGGAGTAGCTGGCCTGGGTAGAGCTCTGCTGTTGCATGGTTCTGTGTTTTCTAAGACACTAGCCTGGGGGCTCCCTCCATGGTGCTGCAGATACCTGCTCTGCCATGACAAAGATAGCCACTGGGTGCTGCCCCCGTGCCATTCCTCCCCCAGTGAAGCCTCATCTCTCCTTTGTGTCTCAGACAGCATTGTGGCCAAGATCAAGGCTAAGGCGTCCTGGCAGCTTTGAAGCCCTATGCTGCCTTCACCTGTTCACCTTTGAGCAGCACTGGCTGGACATAAAATTGCTCGAGCAGGTTTGGAAGGTCAGTTTCTAGACCCTGGTTATGTTATTCTCGCAGAGATACTCCCTGCTTCTGTTAAGGCTGGAATTGGCCCTAAGACCTCAAATAATCATAACAGCAGTGCCAAATGTCAACAGCTGGGTGACAACACAGCACAAGGAGACACTGATATTGGCTGTAGGGCAGGGAAAGGGCTGAGGACTACAAGGAAGCACTTTGTGAAAGGCATGGAATGGGAAAATCCTAATTTTCTTCCTGGGAGAACTGCTCACACAAGGAAACTTAATTTCTTGCCATGTCTCATTTCTTCTGCATCGACTCCTTGCAGCAGAGATGAAATCTGGTAGATTTTGGAACTATTGAACTGGACCTTTTTCCCAAAGAGGATGTAAAAGCTATGAGATTGTGCATGGAGCCAAGGGAGGGAGATAGTTGAGACAGCCCCTCAGTTTGCCCATCTGCCCTCAGCTCCATCCATCTGGAGGTGCTCGTAGGGCAGAACAGAAGGGAGAAGGGTCTGTGTGCTCACCATCCACCCCGGTTTCTCAGCATCTTGCCAGCCACAAGTCTTTGCCGTGTCCCTGCAGCTCTGAGCAGCACCAATCCTGCCTGCAAGATCTTTGGAACAGGAAGACCCTCTCCTGTGTGCCCATGGGCATTCACAGGGCGCTTTGCACTGCCACAACTCCCCCCGACTGGGGGAGCCGAGCCGAGTAGTCCCCCCCTCCCCCGCCACACCACTCTCCCGCAGAGCTGCTCTCTGTATCCCTCTCGTCTTTCTCTCCCTCTCCCCTCCACTGTCCCCAGCTTCTTCCACCGCACTCCCCATTCCTCCATCCTCCCCTCCTCTGTCCTCCATCCTCCCCTCCTCTCTTCTGCCCCTCTCCCCTTGACCCTCTCCTGCACCTCCTTCTCCCCCTCTTATTCTCTCTCCCGCGCTCTTCCCCCGCTCCTCTCCGTTCTCCTGCCCTATCATCCCCCCCTTCTCCTTCTTCTCCTTCTGCCGGTGTTTTCGTGCGTGGCGCCCATTGGCTGTCGGCATCCGTGTCCCGGTAGCCGCCACTCCGTCTGCCCGAGCCCGGCAGACGAGCCCCCTCTCCCGCAGATGGCGAGGCGACCGTGGGGGAGACACTCGCCGACGTGAGGGCGAGGGACGGCGCATCCCCGGCCGGACGCCAGCCTCGCCGGCCGGCCGGGCCAC